AAGAAAAGAGCACGCCCATGAGCAATGACCATAATAAGGTAAGAGAAGTAAGCAGCAAAAGTATGTCCTTGTCATCAACATCACTGCAAACATACTAAAAGTCCCCCATAGCCATAAATGAGAAAAAAGACAGTTGTGAAAAAGAAGAACTAACTCCACTCCTCCAAATCTCAATTCTTGTCAGTAATCGTGCCCATCCAAGCCGGTGGCACCATCCCTGTCTGCTCCTGCACAGTCTTGAACAACGGCGGCAGCATCTTGTAAACTCCGGCAACTTCCTTCATAGCATCACTGCCAGCAGCTTCTCCCTGTCCATGGCCGCCGTTAGTCCATATGCTGATCTTGGGCTGCAGCCCATGCACTGCCTGCGCATTGATCTTTGCCACCTCCTGAAACATGCCACCACTGATCATCAAGTAGTCCCTTAGGGCCGCATAGTCGCCGCCCATTGCATCCATAAGGGTGCGAATGTAAGTCCCCTGAGCTTCTGCCAGGGCCTTCAGCCCCTCGGCCTCCTTCAGCTTGGCGTAAAAGTCTCCGTCAACTTTCTGCTTGCGCCCAAAAAAGGCTGCTTCGGCTGAGGCTTTCTGGGCCTCGGCTTCCTTCTCCTTTTCGTATAGGTATGCCTCGGCAGCCTTTTGCTTCTTGTACAGCTCCCAGTTGGCCTCTTGCACCTGGTTTTTTTTAGGATGGAAAAAAGGATCATCAGGAAAATGTTTCAGATTCGGATTCACAAAAGGGGGGGAGCCTGATTGTCTTGTTTGAGGGCTCAAGGTTGGAATGTAACAGTGAAAAGCAAACAAGGATTTCTGTGGATTCACATTGTTTAATTTGTTGGGTGCTGCAACAAGACTCCAATTGCTATACTTATGTTTGGATAAATAAGAACTATGCATGCTACTACGCCTTTCAAAACCAAAGGATGAAGATGGGGTCCTCTTTTTTCTCTTTTGACTATCAGACAAAGGCTCAAATTGTTCTACTTATGGAAGAAACAGCCTCTTAAATAAGAAAAAACACCATAAGAGTAGATGACAACACTTACAGTTCATCTCCCATATTTATAAATGCATAGTCTATTCTACATCCATTTTTCCAATCACCACGAACAGGATTCAGTTTATACAGAGAATACGAATGAACAAAACAAGTAACAAAAGAGGAAGAACCGAACCTTGGTCTCGTACTCGACGCTGGCTTTGCTCAGAAACTCGGCCTTGAGCTTCTCGGTCGTGGTCATCGCGTTCATCCGCTCAACCTCCTTCTGCAGCTCGGCATCCCTGAGTGCCACGGCCTTGTTGGCCTCGACCTCCGCCACATGCGCCTCCTTTGCCCAGCCAGCCTTCTTCTTCGCCAGCTCCGCGTTGGCCTCTGCCACCTCCGCCTCCTTGAGGTTCTCAAACACCTTGACCGCCGTTCTGACCTTAATCTCCTCCTTCTTCCCGTCCCCCTGCCTCTGCGTGGAAATTATCTTAGTCTCGGCATCGATTTTGGCCGCGTTCTGAAGCGTCTGGCCGTCCCTCAGCTTGGATCCGATTTCCCCCTTCATCTTGGCCTCCGCCACGTCAACCCTAGCCTGATTGGCCGCCTCCATCTGCGTCTTCTGCCCTAGGTAAGAGAAATACTCGTGGCCAGGGACATCGACGAGCTGCTTGACGTTGGCGTTGTAGATCCAGAGTCCGAACTGGTTGAGCTCGAGCTGGACCTTCTCGAAGACCTCCTTCTTGAACTCCTTGGTGCCCCTGAAGATCTCCTCCATGGTCATGGAGGCGGCGAGGACGCGGGTCTCACCTTCGATTACGCCCTGGACGAGCTCGTGGAGGTGCCTGGAGTTCTTATCGTGGGCGGCGATGAGCCTGGCGTACTTGAGGAGGCTGGGGGGGTCGTCGGCGTGGGGGCCGATGGTGAAGACGGCGGGGAGGATGAAGGGGAGCTTCTCGGCGCTCATGGCCTGGACCTCGAAGGTGTAGTTGACAGGGGAGAGGTCGAACCTGGAGCAGAACTGGCCGGGGAGGATCCATGCCTTCTTCGCGAGCTTGATGTCTCGGATTCCGATGCCGGTGACCACCAGGTACTCCGACGCGCTTGCGACTCTGTACATGCTTGCCGGCGTTTTTGTTTCAGTTTTTCGGAGTTTTAGGGGTGAGACTGTTTCATTGGGAGAACGAATATATATAGAGATATTTACGATATAGGAACTCCATAGAGATAGGGATTTTATTTTTTTTCCTATAATGAAACAGACTGTAATTGATTGGTCATTATTTTTAGTATTTAACAATTTTACTTTTGGCAATTTCTGGGTAGTTAAGTGGTACGTACAGCATTCCTTTGTTGAGGTGAAATTGTCTTTTCTTGAGGAAAAAGTCATCAGAAAGAATCATATTATATGGGGTGGTATTTCTGTTATTGATTTATTTATTAATCGAAGAGATCTCTCGCATTTTTTTTTTTAAGATTATAAATAGGGTGGAATTCGCAAGGAAATTTCTTTTATATTTTTATGACTTTTAAATTTGCGTAATAATTCTTAATTTCCATGTATGTTTTATAAAAAAAAATAATAAAAGTCGTTCCAATTGGTGTTTTAATTAAATACTGTATTGTGTTAGTTATACTAATATTTAATTAGGTTTCTAAAGATTGTTTAAGACTTTAGAAATCCTTGTATATTTAATTTAGAATTCTCAGAAAAAGTCTGTATCGATTTGGAATTTTAAAAAGCCTTATAAAATCGTGAGGTATCTAACTTATTTGACGTTACGATTTGTTAAGACCTTTTAGGATTTAGGATTTAGGATTTGCTGGGATGCTTCGTTAAGACCTTTTAGGATTTATGGCATGATTGGTAGGAAGGAATGACATGAGAATGGAATAATCATTCCTTTACTCATTCCTTAAATCATGATTGGTATATTTTTTGGAAAGGAATGACCATTCCAATGGGAATGGCAAAACCTATCTCCATGGGATTAGCAATTCATAAATGGAATGTTTTCATCATTCACATTTGTGTAGGAATCAATTTTTCCAAAAATAAAATTAAAAAATAATAATAATAAATAAATATAATATATATATATATATATTATAAATCATGATTAAATAAATTAAATAAATTTATTATAAAAAAATTAAATAAAAAAATTGAAAACTTACTTTTATTTATTTTTTAATTAGATATATTAAATACTTATATAAAAATAAAACTAAAAAAATCACTTTAATATATAATTTAAAAATATGTTATTTATTTTTTTATATTATTAAAAATATATTATTCTTTATATATTAAAAACATATTATTAAAAATATATTATTTAAAAATATAAAAAATATATATTATTAAAAATATATTAATTTTAAGAATATATTACTTTTTATATATAATTTAAAAATATATTATCTTTTATATATAATTTAAAAATATATTATTTTACTTTTATATATTATTAAAATATATTATTTTTTATATTATTAAAAATATATTAATTTATTTTTATATATTACTAAAAATATATTATTTTTTATATTATTAAAAAATATATTATTTTATTTTTATATATTATTAAAAAAAGCATTTGTATAAAATTTATTAAAAAGTATATTATTTTTTAAGAAAAGCTTTTATTTATTTTTATAATAAAAAATAATAATGTCATTTCATTCAAGTCCAATTCCTTCTGCATACCAAACGCATCAATGACAAAACTTGTTTCATTCCATTCCTATAATCATTACATTCTTCAATTCATTCTATTCCTACGAAATTCCATTCCATTATACCAATCATGTCAGAGTAAGATTTCACGGGATTCCTTCTGAAAATCTTAAAAAAACTCAAAAAGTCTTTAAATGTCACTCAATATCCCAACAGAATAAACCACCTAAGTTTCATTTTTTTAATACGATCAAACAAGATAATCAATTTTAAATTTTAATTTTTTAAGTCAATAATTAACTTCTCTTTTATTCATATTTTTATTTTTAATTGTCATGATTTCTTGGTAATTGTGCCGGATTTTACAGGACAACTTCAGTATAATCCAATATTATAATTTTCTTATATTTTGTATTTATACATATCGAACCAATAGCTGGTAACACAACTGCATTCCAATACATTTCGTGTTTATTTGTCAATAGATGGAAACACAAGTTCACTGTTTATTATTTATATAAATATCTAATAATTGGTATTACTTTTCAGTATTTTGACCTATACTTTCCAATATTTTTACTTGTACAATTTCACAATCCAGTATTATTATTATTGTTGTTATTTTTTCGATATTTGTAGTATCATTTTTAATAGAACCAATAGCTGTTTGTAAACGTATTAGCCTATTAGGTGAGGTATGGTATTTTAAAGCATTAGTTCCAATTCCATTGAAACACTATTTTGGTGTTTTGCTAAACACAATTGGCACAAAGTAACAAAAAAAGTTGTGAGATGCCTTTTAAGGAATTAATGAACCACAGTTCAAATATAACCCAAGGAAAAAAAATAAAAATAAACATAAACATCTCATTTTTGTCTCTTCAGCTTTTACATTATCATGCATATTATTAGCCTTTTTAGACCCTCTCCAATAGTTTGATAATTAAAACTATGTGAGTTGATAAATAATGACTTTTATTGAAAAATATGTAGTAATATATAATTGATATTATTAGTTATATTAATAATATCAAGCAGAATTGAGTTGGATGAGATAAATAGTGAATTTTGAATTAAAAATTTATATCCATCCGTCCAAAATAAAAAATTTTCCGACAGGCCAATATTTCAACATTTTCCCATAAACTTAGAACACAAGAAATAAAATAAATAAATAAGAGAGGGTAAGTTGCATCAATGAGAACTCAACATCACAAATACCAAGTCCTCGTCAATCTCAGAATATGGTGTTTGGTTATATTTCACAATCTCACTGTCCAAGTCTAAATGCTATACTTTGTAAGAAGTCAAATGAATATTCGCACTCACAATTTTAGTAAATCACAGGGCATTTTCCAAGCAACCATCCATCCAAGTTCAGCATAGACAATTCAGCTACAACCAACATGCAAATAAATTTTATCCCTACCTTATTTCCTAGCAATATGAATTTCATAGTATTAGTATACATAAATTTCCACTTGCAAAAACATCATTTGGTCAAAGTCAACCAAATCATTATAATTCACTTCACAAATTAGGTTAACCGGATTGACTGATTTCGGAGGCCCGAGCAGAGCATTTGTTAATTCATTTATCAATTTGATGTCCAAGCTTCTAACTAGATTATCTCTATAATCTTAGTGCATACCATGTATATAATTCAATAAGAGAGCAGGAAATGTTTTAAAACTCGCATCGACGAGCTAAACGTCAAACTAAATAGCATTGTTAAACTCTTACAAATGAAACTCCTTCAAAATTTGAGAAATATCTAAATAGAAGGGCACATAATATAGTTTTTAAAATGCACAAAACTTCAAAACAAGAACAATTCTTAGTAACACCATCCAACTGAAACAAACGTTCTAAACCCTTCATTTCAAAACCCGTTGACAATTAAAATGAAACGTTAGAATTCCCAAACTCACATTCCTGTGAAAGCCTTCTTCCCACGACCGGAAGAACCAGCCGGAATCACCTTAAGGACATTGAACCTCACCGTTTTTGACAAGGGCCTGAAAGGTCATAGAATGATGTCATAAAAAAGTGCTACACTTACAAACTCGTGAAAATTAATAATAAAACATGATGAGATAACTAGCCTGCATTGGCCGATGATGACATGGTCACCCTCTTTAACACGGAAGCAGGGAGATATGTGTGCAGCAATATTTGAATGCCTCTTCTCATATCTATACATCAACACGAAACAATTAGACAAAACCACCATGAGAAAATAGCAAAATCCTGAACAGAATAAATCATACCTTTGGTACTTCTTCACCCAATGCAGGTAGTTACGCCGAACAATGATAGTTCTTATCATCTTGGCACTGTGGCAGGTCCCTGCAAGAATACGGCCTCTGATGGATACACTGCCGGTGAACGGGCATTTCTTGTCAATGTATGTGCCTGTAGAAAGAAAGTTTAATTTCATAAAACCCTATAGCAATNAAAAAAAAAAAGAAAAAAGTAGTGTAATGCCATTTAACTGCAGGAATTCTCAATGGAATACTGACAGAAATATGAAACTAACTAGAAAGAGGCATGTAAGAAAGTCTTTTGGCATTTAGTAACTTGAAGAGAAACTAACTACTGACCTCATTTCTAGTCTATGTCTTATCCTTGTCAATACTTCAAGTATCCCTACACTTTCAAAATCTGTCACACTACATTCTACTTTGTATGTCTAGTAACAGTTGATTTATCAAAGCAACTTGAACACATTTACACAACATTGTTCAGAAGAGCTGCCAAAGTTGGCTGAGAACCCCCCAACAAATCATCCCCGCACACTTGGCCAAGAAAACACCACGAAGATAGTTCTCCTGCTTGACATGTCTAATATGGTAGAAGTTGGACACAAAAATCTAGCTTTTACAAACCCAAACCACTCCTAAAATCTGAAATCAGTATATTACTTGTGTGCATCGATATATTCATTTAGTTTCATTAAGACAAAGGCAAAGGCCTATTAGTGGGCTCCATGGTCATAATAAAGTAGGATCGTATAGAATATCATATAACGTATAGTGCCAATATATACTGGAATTTTAAAGTTTTGAAATTGAAACATGAGGGTCATATGAATCAGGTGCCACTTCCAATAACACATGTAGAGAAAATATAAGAGTTACTGAGCCAAATCACTGAAAACCAAGTAGAACCAAAAATGCGGCACTACTTTCTGAGGATGACAACATTGCATATAAGAAACGAATCAAATCTAATATAATTATAGAGTTGGACCTTCAATGGCTTCTCGTGGTGTTTTAAAACCCAATCCAATGCTCTTCCAGTAACGGTTTCCTCCTTTTCCAGGAGCTTTTCCTTTCCCAGATTTCTTGGAGCTATAAATATAATGGAACAAAAAAAAATGGCAACATGTTTGAGATGATTAAAAATGTTGCATATATTTCTTAGATAACCAGCATTTTGTTGCAAAAATAAACAAAATAAGGAACTCTTTGACAACAATCATTAAGAAAGATGAGCATATGTATAACATTTTACAGCTCCTCAACAACCAAGTGTGCCCTCAGGTTTAATAAGATTACCACATTCACAAAATTAACAACGCATAAGCATTCTCTTACCAAAGGAAGACCTTGGGCTGCTTCAAGAATGCCTTTTCTGTCTGCAATTCAATTCAATTATGAAATATTTAGATCACCACCAGATATATTTCTTGTAAATAATGAAAATAAATGATAAAAGCTAATATATATATGTTGGGGCAATTGTTTAGTAAATATAGAAGTTTTAGCACTTAATTAAAATAAGAATATTATGTACATTTGTATATATACATATATAGAGATTTTTCAGTTGAATTCCTTTTTCACTAACTAGTCACTAATTTACAACAATACAATCACACATAGTTATGCTGAAAAATTAAGAAAAAAAAAATCATAAAGAAATGTGTATCCAGTATCATTCAAAAATCAGATTACATCACCTATAATGAAAAACACGGATCAATCGAGATACTGAAATACACACCCACCCTCCAACACAGAAATACGCACAATGACTCCAATATTCATCTCGGCTTCATGTCACATTCTTCACTCATCGAATCTTTTGTTCATTACAAGAATTATGATATTGTGAAGACAGTGAAATATACAGTGACTAACATTTTCCCGTGATTTACAGTGACAAACATCAGGGTTTACGAGAAGAGAGATGATAGACAGAGCTCATCATATAAATGGATAAAGAAAAAAAGGTAGATTTCCAGTGATCAATTCGAATTGGATGGATCAGAGTAGAACCTGTTCCGCCGCCATGGATGTGAGCTTAGGAGCGTCCGTGCACGAGTGAGGCGGCAGCAAGAAACCCTAATCTGCAAAGAACGACAGTGAAGCTCTTCAATTCGGGACTCCACACATATGTAGCGCTTATTAATACGTGGGCCTAGACTTTGGAAAAGGTCCTTGTTGAAGCCCAATATAATATGTCCATTATAAAATGGATGGACTTTGGATCCATACAAGCTTGTCGACTCTTTTACATGTTTGATGATATACGTTTTGAAAATTTTGTAGAAAATTAAATTATGCATAATCCTTTTATAAATGAGTCATAACTCATAAATCAAAAGGTAACATAATTTAGAAATCACTTGCAGAAACAAATATTAATATCAATCATTCATAAACTGAGAAAGTTAGAATAATTGTAATTAAAATAAAAATTATAAGATTTTATTGAGCAATTTTATAAATCATTAATATCAATCATTCATAAATATGTATCGCATTTCCCATTGCTACTAGTTGTGTAATTTTATTTTATTTTTTAGCAACTTACAACTCGTAATGTCATTTGAGAGAGGTATTTATAAGATTATCGATAATAGTCAATTTTGAAAAAAAAAATATATAACCAAATGGATTTTTTTTTCAGCAGCTGCAACCAATGTTAGTTGAATTTGTTGCGCGAAACAATGACAATATGCACTCGGACGATCTTTCAAGAATAGAGCGTGCACTCCATTCTACGAGCCACACATGTTGCTAGCACCATCATAACCCTATCCCCGCATATTGTGAACTTGTAAATCATATTGATTTAAAGCATCCAATATTTCTTTCTTAAGTGTCGCGTCAGTTGTATCAAATACACGAACAATAGCAAATAAACTTTCTCATATAAAGCAATCAATATCGACAAACTTCAACACAATCGTGATATGCTCTTTGTTGGAATTATCTCTCGCTTCATCCACTAAAATGCAGAATTTCGCGGCTCCAACTTCCTTAAGAATTTTGGATCTCACGCGGTGAACAGGAATATTCAGAACATCTTTATGAATTACTGGAAAAATATACTTTGCATTTCTTGAGCATTCTCTAAGAATACATCTCCAATACTATCATTCACTATTCCCATGAACTTTATTATTTTGATAAACTTTTAGTTGATAATGGAGATTCATCATGTCCTCTAAATTCACATGCCTGCAATGTGAGACATTGAATGCTTTCATGGTTGTTGTTAGCCTCGATCTATTCTTTTGTTTATCCTCTAAAGATTGTGCATTGATTAGTTTACCAGTATGACGAGGCACATTCATCAAACAATCAATGGAGGCTGCAACATTATTATGCGATGAAGTAGGGCCTCCAATATGTAGTAAAAATGAGCACACGTCTCTGTCACTAACTCGCTTCCAATACTTGAATCACTCTGTAGTAAATGCTGGATTTCGAGCTTACTTATTTTCGAACAAGAAACTCGGGAAGCAAAATGCATGATCCTTAGAATGATAGTACTCCAGCCAAGTAAACTTCTTGAATCAATTGCTTTGAAATCTTCGATTTTGAGCTCTATATTTCATCAGTGGATATTCATTCCTGACAGGTTGATATAGTCTCATCTTAATATAAGCTTGTCTCATTTTATCTCTTTGATCGACTAGATATTTTCATATTGGAGTACATAATGCCGGCTCACGTTCAAGATAACTCATACCAATAGAGGTGACAACATTGTTTGTCCAATTTTTGTTGCATTTTTTCTTGTTATTTTTTTCTTTCTTTTTCCTCCATATTAGGTCTTTTAGTTAGTTTTTATATCGTTTTGTAGTTTATTGTGTGTTTTCCTCTATCTTGGTTTTTCTTGTGTTTTCCGTATGTTTTTTCGGTTTTTTTCTTAGTTTATGGTGTGCAGGTCGAAAGCTTCGGGAGAATTTATTTTTTATGATAAGTGGACCAGGTAAAATTAAATAGATGGGTTCGTTGGCTACAAGTAGGAAAAAACGGAATTCGATTATGAGTTCGGACGAGTCCGGACGGGCCCGATATGTGAAGTCGTGCACGGAAGCCGTCACCTTCAAGTAAAAAGCTTTGAGAGAATAGGTTTTCAAGAATAACTTGGATTTAAAAGCACAATTGCTTAGAAAGGCTTCGTTAGCGACGCATAGGAAAAAATGGAACTCAATTCCAAGTTCGAACAAGCCCAAACGAGCCCAAAACGCAAAAATCGCGCAGCCGAGCCAGCATCCCCACGCGCCGCGGCGCGGCAACCCTTCGCGGGCCCTCAGAAGTTGCCCAGCACGCCCCCACGCTGCGGTACTCCCCCGCGCCGCGGCAACCTAATACTCCACGCCCTGTCACGTGCTAGGCATTATATATGGGATCGGGATTGCGATTAAAATTATCTCCCCTACTGGGAGTGAAATCCTAGGCCTGAGAAAAAAGAGTAAAATTATCTACTCTTTTTAATCACATAGTTTAAATTAATCTATTTTCTTCTTAAAATAATGTTTATTTGATAAGTTTTTATCAACAAAAATGTTATGCAATGTGATGCAAAAGTTCAATTTAAATCAATCTTTAACAAAAAAAAAATCTTATTTTTGTACCCCGATGCTGTCATGAAAGAAAAAAATTGCTTGTACCATTGCCCATAAACTATAGATGTTGAAGTTAAAATTATAAATACAAAAAATCTCATATTTTTTTTTGTTTATAACTTTTTTAAAAGTTTAAGGGTGATACGGATTCTAAGTTTTAAAAACTTGATGGTACACATATCAATATTTATATTTATAGTAATTACATTTTTTTAATTATATTTTTACATGAAATGAGTATTTGGACTTAAACTATAAGCTCGTTATAACATTTAAAATCGGACCCCCTTATCGAAATTCCTAAATCTATATAAGCGCCTACCTAATGCTTTGAATAAATACAATCACTACTCGTGTTGCCACTTGCCAGCATGAAAATTCTGATTCCTTTCGTGTAGTTGGTCACTTGGTTGTTTTTTATGATATAATAATAATAATTAGCATTTTAATATAATAAAAAATGTCCCTCCAATGTGTGGTTTGAACGGTGACGTGTGCTTCAGAAAGTAGACAGATGGAGAATGATGAGATAGGGCGAACTGAGTGAATAACAAGTGTCTTTTGTCCTGACCTAAAAAATCCCACATGACACGATTTCTGAAGTTTATTAGCGAGTCAGCGACTTTCACAGTTTCACTCCATTGATGTTTGAAACGTAGGTATTTTGTAACGAGTGCGCTTAACTTTGTAGTACGAACTAAAACAAAAATTATAAAATGCGGAAGCAATAAATCGAAGATTTAAAAACTCTTCAGGGAAGCGTCCCACTTCCCCTCAGAGCTCTTTCATTGATAAACCGTTTGTGCACACTTTATAGTTTGGACTTACACGACTCGAACTCCCTTCTAGTCTAGCCACAACTACACACGATTCTATCAACTACTTCTCCGACCACGTCCCGTGGATTTTACCTCTCGAATCCCTCGAGCTAAATACAGTACTTAATCCCTAAGCACTGATCACACAAGTGTTTGAATGAAAAACAAAGAAAAGAAAACAAAACAGACTTCAGTTCTTCGATGACGTAAGAACACCGAAAAACTGACCAACGAAAATAAAACACAAAAAACTTGCAGCTCGAATATGGAATAGAATGTGATGCTCTCAGCTCTCCAAAATTCGTTCTTCAAGCAGGTATATATACAATCCCTAGGATGTGGAGTGTTCTCCAAGTATAGCACTCCTTTTGTTTTTGATTTCCTTCCAAGTTTATCCAAAGAGATATGGTAGGTGTAGATCTCTATCTTCTCTTTCCTTCTTATATGATTTCCTACAAAATATATCCATAATAAGATCATGTAAATCTAATATATATGTATATAAATCGAATATATAAATATAAATATAAATATATTCGAATATATAAATATAAATATAAATAAAAGAACTTCCCTTTTTATTTCTCATGCTTGCAAGAATATATCTTCACTTATATTAATTTTTGAACTTCATTGCCAAAAATATAACTCTTTCAATGTTGATTTATTTATGTTTTATTTTTCTTGATTGTTATTAAGTATATTATGTGTGTTTAGTAATCAGTTGCTTTAAATTATGGTGTTTGTCCATACAAATTTGAATTTTTATTCATACTAAATATTGAAATTATAAAACTTTGCCAACTTAAACTATAAATATAAATATATTTAAAATTAATAATTTTTTATAAGTCAGTTATACTTATATATGAATAGAGTTGTTAAACGAAACGAGTCGCTCGTGAGTTGGGGTCGACTTGTTTGGTGAACGAGTCAAGCTCGGCTGGGCTTTATAAGCCTCAAAAATAATTTTTTTTATATAATTTTTTATAATTTAACTCGTTAAAACTCGAGATAAGCTCGAACGCGACTTGTTAATATTGATAAACGAGTCATAATCAAGTTCGAGGCTCGACTCATTTACAACTCTATAAATGGTATATTCATCATTTTACGATTTTCGGATTGACATTCATATTGTAAATAAAAAATATATACATTTACGTAGAAAATAATAAAATTATTATTTATTAATTAAATAAGTTACCTATCAAACAAATTATATGACGCGAGTTAGAAAAAGTGTTATAAGAAAATACGAGCGAACTGTAATGAATTTCCTTTAAATAAAAATAAACTTATAATTTAAATTGTTTAAGAATTTAATTTAAAAAAAAAATAAGTAAAATTTCTCCTTTTTCAAAATCTTAAATAAAATTTTTTAATTAACACCCACTTATTATCGTAGTGCTTATGAAAATGCTCCAATGCCAAAATTGACATATTTTATGAATTAAGATGTATCAATCAGCCACGTAAAAAATGCAATATTTATAATTTAATCAATTCATGAATATCAACATGTTTTGCGAGGGACACTAATGAATTTACTTTAAAATGATGATCTTTTAATTTTTTATAGTTTTGTTCTCTTGCTCAAGGTGAACACGAATTAACATTTCATGAATTTAGCATACCAAAAATGATGTAAATAGAGTTAAAATCATGAAATTTCGACACATGATTGATGAACTCATTTTAATGGGTT